CTTCAGGGAGCTTCAGGACTGTTCTTCGGAAGCCTACTTTGCTTTTGTGTGATGTCTGTATTACAGGGAGAAAAGTTTGGCCCAAGGACAAACTTTGTTAAACATTTATGCAAGCCTCTGAGGTTTCTTTCTTTCTTTCTTTTTTTAAAGTATTTTTTTCTGGGATGCACAAACTCCAGAGAAACGGAGTCAGTGCTCTCGCCTCTGAGGTTTCATGTTCAGTCCAGGGACACACTCATAGCTGCCCCCCTCCCCCGGGGGTATTAATGGTGTTACTATTTGATTCGTGTTTCCTTTTTAAATTATTTTCATCATCATTTCAAAGTTACTTAACTCATTCTCAATTCCAATGATCACACCAGAATCCAATTATGACGACAAACCAAAACAATCAAACAAAAAAATCCCCCCAAAAAGGAATGAACGCTCCCCATTCCAAAACAAGATGATGTGTCATAGTCACTCCACAAATGAGGGCTTATTAATTGCTTTCTTTTTTTTTTTTTTTTTTTGAGACAGAGTCTCGCTGTGTCACCCAGGCTGGCATGACAGAGTCTCGCTCTGTCACCCAGTGGCGTGATCTTGGCTCACTGCAACCTCTGCCTCCCAGGTTCAAGCGATTCTCCTGCCTCAGTCTCCCGAGTAGCTGGGATTACAGGTGACTGCCACCACGCCTGGCTAACCTTTTTGTATTTTTCTTTTCTTTTTTTTGAGACTGAGTTTCACTCTTGTTGCCCAGGCTGGAGTGCAATGGCGCAATCTTGGCTCACCACAACTTCTGCCTCCCGAGTTCAACTGATTTTCCTGCCTCAGCCTCTCAAGTAGCTGGGATTACAGGCATGTGCCACCATGCCTGGCTAATTTTTATATTTTTATTAGAGACAGGGTTTCTCCATGTTGGTCAGGCTGGTCTCGAACTGCCACCTCAGGTGATCTGCCCACCTCGGCCTCCCAAAGTGCTGGGATTGCAGGCGTGAGCCACCGCGCCCAGCCTACTTTTTAGTATTTTTTGTAGAGACAGGGTTTCATCATGTTGGCCAGGCTGGCTTCAAACTCCGAACCTCAAGTGATCCAACCGCCTCAGCCTCCCAAATATTGCTAGGATTACAGGAGTGAGCCACATGCCTGGCCTTATTAATTGCTTATAATTAATTAATTAATTATTTATTTGAGACAGAGTCTAGCTCTGTTGCCAGGCTGGCTAGAGTGCTGATCCTGGCTCTCTGCACCTCTGCTTCCTGGGTTCAAGTGATTCTCTTGTCTCAGCTTCCATGTAGCTGGGACTACAGGCACATGCCACCATGCTCAGCTAATTTTTGTATTTTTAGTAGAGAAGGAGTTTCACCACGTTGGCCAGGATGGTCTCGATCTCTTGACCTCGTAATCCACCGACCTCGGCCTCCCAAAGTGCTGGGATTACAGGCGTGAGCCACCGCGCCCAGCCTACTTTTTTTTCTTTTTTTTTTTTCTGCGTTGGAGTCTCACTCTTATTGCCCAGGGGCTGGAGGACAGTGGCTCAGGTCACTGCAACCTCCACCTCCCGGGTTCAAGCTATTCTATTGCCTCAGCCTCCCCAGTAGCTGGGACTACAGGCACCCGCCACCACACCTGGTTAATTTTCTAATTTTTTTTGGTATTTTTAGTGAAGATGGGGTTTCACCGTGTTAGCCAGGATGGTCTCGATCTCCTGACCTCATGATCCGCCCGCCTTGGCCTCCAAAAGTGCTGGGATTACAGGCTTGAGCCACCGCACCTGGCCCTAATCACATGCTTTCTAAGTAGGCCTCAGGCTTCCGCTTGTGGGCAGAGAACTTCTCTTGTTTATTTTAGCTTCTTCACAGATGTGTACCAGGTATCCACTAGGGGCTCAATAAATGTCGAATTAATGAATGTGTGAATAAACAAAAAATCACTAATCAGTAATTTTTTTTGAATGCTTATTTTTGAAAATGCACTTTAAGAGTAAATGTTTATTTTTTTTAAATAGAAAGAATAAGATCTAGTACTTGATAGTACAACAGGGTCACTATAGTCAATAATTAAATTATACACTTTAAAATAACTAAAAGTATAATTGAATTGTTTGTAATACAAAGGATAAATGCTTGAGAGGATGGATATCTCATTTTCCATGATGTAATTATTACACATTGCATGCCTGTATCAAAACATCTCATGTACCCCAAAATATATACACCTATTATGTACCCACAAAAAGTAAAAATAAAAAATTTTTAAAAAGTAAATGTTTTTAAAAATTACTTTTAAAAAGTAAACGTTTATTTCAAAAGCTCTTTAAGACACTGAGCCTAGACTGTAACACAATAGGTGCTCAATAAATGTTTTTTGAATAAATACCTGATACTCAGACATTGCAAGTACTTTCAATTTATTGTGACCTTGCAATCTGAGGCCCTTGTAACTCTGGAAGTAAAGAAAGCCACATGAATAGTGCCACAATAAACATACGTGTGCATGTGTCTTTATAGCAGCATGATTTATAATCCTTTGGGTATATACCCAGTAATGGGATGGCTGGGTCATATGGTACATCTAGTTCTAGATCCTTGAGGAATCGCCATACTGTTTTCCATAATGGTTGAACTAGTTTACAATCCCACCAACAGTGTAAAAGTGTTCCTATTTCTCCACATCCTCTCCAGCACCTGTTGTTTCCTGACTTTTTAATGATCGCCATTCTAACTGGTGTGAGATGGTATCTCATTGTGGTTTTGATTTGCATTTCTCTGATGGCCAGTGATGATGAGCATTTTTTCGTGTCTGTTGGCTGTATGAATGTCTTCTTTTGAGAAATGTCTGTTCATATCCTTTGCCCACTTTTTGATGGGGTTGTTTGTTTTTTTCTCATAAATTTGTTTGAGTTCTTTGTAGGTTCTGGATATTAGCCCTTTGTCAGATGAGTAGATTGCAAAAATTTTCTCCCATTCTGTAGGTTGCCTGTTCACTCTGATGGTAGTTTCTTTTGCTGTGCAGAAGCTCTTTAGTTTAATTAGATCCCATTTGTCAATTTTGGCTTTTGCTGCCACTGCTTTTGGTGTTTTAGACATGACTTGGAATCAACCCAAATGTCCATCAGTGACAGACTGGATTAAGAAAATGTGGCACATACACACCATGGAATACTATGCAGCCATAAAAAAGGATGAGTTTGTGTCCTTTGTAGGGACATGGATGCAGCTGGAAACTATCATTCTTAGCAAACTATCACAAGAACAGAAAACCAAACACCACATATTCTCACTCATAGGTGGGAACTGAACAATGAGATCACTTGGACTCGGGAAGGGGAACATCACACACTGGGGCCTATCATGGGGAGGGGGGAGGAGGAAGGGATGGCATTGGGAGTTATACCTGATGTAAATGACGAGTTGAGGGGTGCTGATGAGTTAATGGGTGCAGCACACCAACATGACACAAGTATACATATGTAACAAACCTGCACGTTATGCACATGTACCCTAGAACTTAAAGTATAATAATAATAATAATAATAAATAAATTTAAAAAAAAAAGAAAGCCACATGATAAACAAAGGCACATCTTTTTCAGGTGTAAATTGCTTAAAGCTTTTACAGCTATTTAAACGAGAGGCAAAATAAAACATTCATATTCGTTTTAAAGAAAAACATCTTTCTTCAAATGTATTTTTTGTTTTTAAGAGCTTACTTGGGGCTATATCTTCAGACTCTGTGTTTAATGTTATCTTTCCATTGGCTTTATGAGTGCTTTGCAGGAAAAGTCCAAGAAGTAGTAGGTACATTTGGTGATTTGTGTTTTACATATTTAAGGAGAAAATATACCAATCATTAACATCTGTAGAGGGTTCAACTCTAGATAAAGCCACTTTCATGTAATCTTTTCTGGGCTTCACTTCTTCCTCCAGACTGGACCACTGGGTAGCTTAAAGTTGTAAAAGCTTCAAGCAATTTACACCTGAGAAAGATGTGCCATTGTTTATCATGTGGCTTTCTTTACTTCCAGAGTTACAAGGGCCTCAGACTGTAACATCACAATAAATTGAAAGTACTTGTGATGTCTGAGTATTAGGTATTTATTCAAAGAATATCCCCATTTTACAGATTAGGAAACAGATTACCAAATGTGGGCTAGGGTCCTCCTGGGAATGGGCCAGGGGGAATGCTTGCTGTTGTTAAAGAAAATTATCCCAGACGCTTGTTAAACACAATGAATAATTTATTCAAGATTACTACTGTAAGGGTCATGACTATTGGAACAGGAGAGAGAAATTGAGCTCAACTCAGAATACAGCAAAGACAGCAAGGGATTTATAGCCAAGGAACAAGCACCCTGTCTGTGAGGGAGGTGACGGTGGATGGAAAATTACTAACAGGAGACATCAAGGGTAGGGGGATTCTGGCTAAAGGCAGGTCAAGGGCTTCTACAACAAAGGTGTAATATAAGGAATCTAATCCCTTATTAAATATCAAGAATTCAAGGGTGATCAGGTATCGAGGATGGATGATTTAGCACGCTTCTTGCTAACATTTGGGCCCAGCCAGGACACGGAGGTGAACGTTGAGGCCTAAGTGAGAAAGGGCTCAGAAGTACCAAACTAAAGGAGAGCATCTCTGTTCCTGCCTACTCTGACCTCGTTTCCCCCCTTAAACTCAGTGGTAACAATCTGACCTCTTTATTACCTGATTCCCATGGAAGGGGGGGGGGGAGTGGCAGGCAGCCGGTGCTCCAGGATCGTTGGGTAGGGAGCCTAGCTCTCTGAAAGCAGCAATGCCTAGTGGGGGTACGGAGGCCGAGTTCGGAGACCACCCGAGTAATTGCGGTCCAGAGCAAAGCCCCCTGGATCGGAACGGGAGCTACCCTCACGCCCCGCCCGGCTGCCGGCAGCCGCACTTCTGGGCGGATGCCGCAGGTCGGGAGGGACGAGGCTGACGGCGCTGATTGGCTGACCGCCGCGGCCTGGGGTTCCCCGGCCCCGCCCCTGCTGCGCTCCCCTTGCCCGCGACGCCGCGCGCTGTCCGGTCCTGCGCTGCCCGGCGGGAGAGGCTGGACCCCGCCTTCCTCCTCCCTACCGGTCCCCATCCTTAAAGCGCGAGTCTGGACGCCCCGCCTGTGGGAGAGGGCGCCGGGATCCGGACGGGGAGTAACCGGGGCAGGCCGGGGCCGGCCGAGGAGGTCCTGAGGCTACCGAGCTGCAGCGGCTGGCACACGAGCGCCTCGGCACTAACCGAGTGTTCGCGGGGGCTGTGAGGGGAGGGCCCCGGGCGCCATTGCTGGCGGTGGGAGCGCCGACCGGTCTCATCCCGCCCTCGGCTGCACTCCTCCTCCGGCTGGGAGGGGCCGTAGCTCGGGGCCGTCGCCAGCCCCTGGCCTGGGCTCGATAATCGAGGGCCTCGGCCGCTGTCCCGCAGCTCAGTCCATCGCCCTTGCCGGGCAGCCCGGGCAGAGACCATGTTTGACAAGACGCGGCTGCCGTACGTGGCCCTCGATGTGCTCTGCGTGTTGCTGGGTACGTACGCGCCGCCGGCCCGAGGGGCGTGTGCGCCCGGGCGGGGACGGCTGTCCCGGGAGGGCTTTAGCGCAGAGCTGCCAGGGGCAGCTGGGGTGTGTTGCCTGACGCGTGCGCCGCTGCGGGGCGACACACGGGGGGCGGCTTCTGCAGCCGAGGGACCCCGCTTTGCAGCCTGCACCCCGGCTCCCGCGTGCCCGCCGCTGTCTGTAGCCCGCCGGTGCGCTGAGCCCACCCCTGCTTGGACGCTGTTCACGCCTTTGCGCTCCATGCCTTGCTGCTGTTCTCTGTTTTCAGTTCCACTCTAGCAGAGCAGGGTGGGCTCCTCCCCTCTGTACTGTAGAGAAGCCTGGTCACTGGCCCGTCTCAGTAACGAAACTGGAGATTTGATGCACAGGGGATTCTCAGTAACAGGCGCCAGTGCCTGATATATCGTGAGAAGTTTAATATTTCGGCTATAAAAGGCTAGAACCTTCCTAATTAGAAGGTGTTGCTAGGTTGTAAATTGTCAGGTTGCAAGTAGGGATGAGCACACCAAGTTTTTGCGTATAGGTCTGAAGAGGCTTTGGGGGTGGGGGAGGGCGCGGTACCCCAGACCTACTGTTTCCTTGTCTGCACATACCTTGCCATGGTGTAGCTTTCCATCTCTTGTGACAGTCCCGCAAGGAGCAGTAGACGTTCTTTGGCTGCAGCAGATTTCGCATTGTCTTACTGATTGGAAGAGTTCAGTTCCGAGGCTTCTGGTTGCCAGTTACTCCTTTGTTTTGAAGAGAAAGAATTGGAATCATTTGGATAAGGGATGGGCGTTGGAAGGAGTAGCTTTCACCTTTTGTGTATTGTATAAGGCACTTATGCTGTGAACTATTTATATGTGATGGAAAAAACAAAAACAAAGCAAGAGCTGCTGGAGGTTTAGATAGTCCTACTTATGTTGAAGTAATCAGAATAGTAGTAGTAGTGGCAAGTTCTCAGGGTGGGAGATCTGTGGCTTTAGCCTCCTAGATGAAAGTCTGCATAATGGTTTCTCAGTGACAGGAGATTCCCTCGGTTTTAATCCAGTAGTCCCTGGTTATTACACTCTCCAGTTTCGAACCGGATTATTTAGGCCCTTGCAATCTTGTGGAATTCTTATAAATTCTGTTACCTGGTTTTGTTGTTGTAAGGAAAAATTCCATTTTGTGTGTGTGTGTGTTTTTTTTTTTGGAGACAATCTTGCTTTGTCATCCAGGCTGGAGTGTAGTGACGCGATCTCGGCTCACTTGCAACCTCTGCCTCCTGGGTTCAAGTGATTATCCTGCCTTGGCCTCTCTAGTAGCTGGGATTGCAGGCACCCGCCACCACGCCCGGCTAATTTTTCTGTTTTTAGTAGAGACAGGGTTTTCTCCATGTTGGTCAGGCTGATCTCGAACTCCTGACCTCAGGTGATCCGCCTGCCTCAGCCTCCCAAAGTGTTGGGATTACAGGTGTGAGCCACCGCACTGGGCCCTAAAACTCTATTTTGTTACCTATTAATATGAAGCATCCTTGTTTACCAAGACGCTTCCTGTTTAGGTCCACAGTGAGTTTTAGGAATTAAGTTTAGGAAAGGGGAACAAAATTTTGGAACACTGCCTTTTTTTTTCCCCCCCCCCAGCTCTGTTTGTCCCCCAGGCTGGAGTGCGGTGGCGGGATCTTGGCTCACTGCAACCTCCGCCTTCTGGGTTCAAGCAGTTCTCTGCCTCCTCCTGAGTAGCTGGGATTACAGACACCCACCACCATGCCTGGCTAACTTTTGTATTTTTAGTAGAGATGGGGTTTCACCATCTTGGCCAGGCTGGCCTTGAACTCCTGACCTCGTGATCCACGCGCCTCGGCCTCCCAAAGTGCTGGGGTTACAGGCGTGAACCACCGTGCTCAGCTGAACACTGTCTTTATAAAAACACAGTCCTTTCAGATGTCGGGACTTAATAATTAAATATATTCAAATTTATTTGCAACAGAAAATTACCTTTCATAGGAATGTTAAATTTAAAAATATATTTTAACTTATACTTGATGTCATTGGAACTTTGTTAAACTTTGTTTATATTTTAGTGAAAGGAGAGGAAAATGTTCGATCAGAAAAAAATCAGTGTATTTCTAATGTATTGAATATTAGCCTATTATTGCCACATGTTGTGCAGTATCAGAATTACATATCATCTTCCTCTTTTCGATCAATTTGTAAAACAACATAATGTTTTTTTTCTATGGGTATCATTGTCACATATTGTGCACTATCAGAATTACATATCATCTTCCTCTTTTCCTACTGTGGGAGTTCGATCAATTTGTAAAATAACATAATGTTTTTTTCTATGGGTCAAACACTGATTAGGATGGGTGAAACATAATACTGCTCTGAGGTAGGTTAAGCTAATGGTATTAAACACAAAGCCATATGGTAGATCTGCAATTAAAAAAAAAATCACATATAACGGAGGAACTGACATGAAGTACAATTTTATAAATTATGGGTTGTTGTAGCCTGTAGTTTTAACATGATACAAACATCACATAATTATCCTATAAAGGTTAATTTCGTTGCTAAGTTGACCTGACAGTTGCAGGAGTAGGATGACTCTCAGTAAGATAAAATTGTGTTTTTGGTGGTTTTGGAAAGCTTGCTTTGAGGACTTATTTGTTTTAGGAAAAGGCATTTGATCTATTTACAACATTATGTTTTTGTATTACTGGCATTTCTTTTAAAGTAATTCAGTATATTACCAATATAAGCTCAGAATTCCCTTTTCCTAAATAGAAAGTGACCTATTTTACTGACTTTTAAAAATGTAAGATTGCATTTAACAACATTAGCTGTCCATTACAAACAGCAGTGAAGGAGAACAGTGGTGCAGGAGATACAAAACTTTTTCACACTTACTTTTGGAAGACACATGTTATATAGCAAATGCACCTTTCTGGTGGAGTCTGTTATATTAAATTTGATTTGGATTCATTTTACTGACAGCAGGAGATTGGTAGCCTAAAATCACGGTAGCTTGAAGAGGGGTTTCAACCTGGCATAAATTTCCTTTTTCTGTGGAGAATCTACAGGTAAGAATTGACTGTTAGAACAGAAAGATGATTAAGCACTTTGTAAGTACAGGGTTATGTGAAAGTGGTTCATAATTATAATGTGAATACATTCCAGATTCTGTTAATGACCACCTCAACATCATACAGTATAGCCATTTTAATATGATGATGTTACGTGAACCTGTTATACAACTACTTTATAATTTTACTAAGAGTGATGTGTTGAAGTGATCATTGAACATGCCTTGTGTGTGCGTGTGTGTGTGTATATATATGTTTCTGTCCCTATATCATCTTTATCATCAGTGTCAAACACGATTTCCTCTATATACATGTTCAAATTATTAGTTCCTTAAGTGGATCTGATAAATTCTTGGAAAAAGAATGAGAATTTTGAGAAGTAATGTGTGTTAGTTCCTCAAGTGGATCTGGTAAATTCTTGGAAAAAAGAATGAGAATTTTGAGAGATAATGTGTATGTGATTCCTTTCTGAAATGGAACATAGTCTTGCCATCTGTCTTTGTTTCTTTTTATGATGTGTTCTGTGACTGTAGAACAGGCCGTATACATTATCTGAGTGCATGAGAAAAGCTCTACAGAGAATGGTGGTAGGCTGGTATGAAAGGGGCAATGTTTTAGCCCAGTGTATTAAACCATGTCATGAATACAACTTATTAGTGTTTAATTGCTAAGGGTCATTTCAGATTTTAGCCACTATGGCATTAGGCTGCCAATTAATGGACACTGAGTCCATTAATTTGTTCAGTGCATATTGATTGAAGGCTAGCTTTGTGGCCAGTAGGATGTTAGGGTTCTAGGGATACAAAGATGAATAAGATAATCCCTACCCTAAAGGGCTCAGAGTCCAATGAGGAAGAAATAAAAAAGAGGTTATAATACATCATGATAAGTATGATAATGGACGTTTGGAATATGTTCCCTTTGAGCAAAGAGAAGGGCATTGTCTAACATCTGCTTCACTGTAAATAAATGACCTGTCTGTTTACTCTTAGAGATGCAGAAAGGTCAGAAGTTACCTGGAATTACTTGTAGCTTCTTTGTTTTTCCCTTTTCCAACTTGATACAGGGCGGTAGGAACCCAAGTAAGTACCAGTGTTTATGACTTATTTGCAGGCAGCCTCACAGTATCTAAATTTAGATGGAACTGACAAAACTTTGATTCCATGTACCTGTGTTTTGCTGTTTGACAATCATTTAGAATATCTTTCTGTGCTGCGTGTGTTCCATTTGCCCTTCCAAATCTTTTCTCCACTCTGCTCTGTGGCTCTGGGAAATGAATTCCATGGACTACATCAACTGATCGCTTCCTTTTTGGTTTCAGATTAGCTTTGCCCAGTGTGAGGGACATCAGAAAGGATCTCCCTAAGAGCTAGTTCCCTCTTGCTGGATTTGGTGTTGCCAAAGCTGTTCACAACTCGTATTCAATAATGGCCCTCTGCCAGACACCTATAGTTACACGTCTTTCTGGGTTCTGATAACCCTTCCCTAGCCCATTTAGACCTGGAGATGATAATGGCTTCCTGATGTGGCTAACCTGAAGATATACCACCATCTTTTGCTGTTTTCCCTAAACCCTACCTGTACCTTTTGAAATGGTTCCTTCATTAAGTTTTCTTGAATACTTCATTTGAGTATGCTGTTTTTCTTGCCAGGACCGTACTGATAATACCCATCTATGTCTAAAATGGATTTGAGGTAGCTTTCCTTTCTGCATTAAACACCAATTACAGTGTCCTTAATGGCAAATGCAAACAGGAGCCCATGGGCTGCTATGTTGGCTTTCTTGAGAGGGAAGGGGTTATGGTTCCCTCAGCATGCTCCAAATGTGGTATCATCATTATGCCAAATCAGAGTCAATGGGTGTAGAGTAAAATCTGGTGGCAAAAACATTTGCAACCAATGCTAGGTGGTTACAGGGTCCCTATTGCTTGTTTTACCCCAGTAATTATCTCAAATACTGATGTCATTTGTTATTACCATAATGCTGACATCATTTTACCCCTTAAGGATACTCCTAAGGAGAGGTCCCTTTGTTAAGGCTCAATCTGGGTCCCTTCCTCAAAGGGGGAAAAACAAGTATTTTGGGAAGAGTCTCACTTGCTAAATAGTCTCCAGCATTTTGTGCCTTCCCTTTTCTTGTAACATTTATTTGTTCATTCACTCATATTCAGTACACATTTGTTAACTGTATCATAGGTGCTGGGCAGTGTGTTAGGCACTGAAGATAAAAATAAGTAAACAAATAGGACACGGTGCCTGTCCTGACCACTTGCTGTTTTCTTCTGTTTAACTTCTATTAGGAAACTTATTTTGCTTCTGAGGAAAGTTTACTGGTTTTTCTGTTTTCTTTTTTCCCCCTCTATTCTTCTAGTCACAGAGAGAGGGAAGGAATCTCAAATAATGAACAAATATTTGTCAAAATGGCATATTCTTGGGTCAGTCTAGAATCCTGTTGCAAGGCTTTTTCTTTCTTTAAATGGGTAGTTTGGAACAAAAGCAGAGGCCTAGAGGAAATTGCCGCTATTTGGCTGTCGTTGGTTTTATTCAGCTGAGTTTTAACTTAAATTTACCTTACTTGGAATAAAGTATAGAAATGTTCAGAAAACTTTCCCCTTATAGATTTTATGAAATGTAAATTCTTCCTTGATATTCTCTTTGAAGTACATCCTTTGGAAACTCAAGAATGTACTATGGATCTTTGTCACTCTCTTTCTCATTTAGTCATTTTGGGCTGAGCTCTACCAAACTTTCCGATGTGTTACTCAGTTTGTGGAATTATTCTGATTCTTTTGGTTAAGAAATTTAAGGTTAAAATTGTCAATGTTTGCCATATTTAAAAAAAAAAAAAAAGAGAGAAGTTGGCTGCAAAAGTCACTAAACTCCCAGATTTTGAGTGAACTGATTAACATGTAATTTCAGTTTTTATGGAAAAAATTTGGAATGTTGTCTACTTCCTCCTAATTTAGGTGCCTTAATTCAACATTTGAAATGGAAATATACAGTCTGTACAATCAGCTAATTAGGGATTATAGAGATACTGTCTTGTCTCTTTTCTTCTTTTCAAAAAAAAGCATTTGCCATCCAGAGATTATGAATGGTGGTTACAAGTAGCATTCTTATCTTTCTATCCTTCTTTCTTCTTTTACCTTCTTTTTCATTGTCACTCCTTCCCCGCGCACTGTACTTCCCTTCCTTCTGCTCATCTTCCCTTCAGTCTTCTTGCTGTTTAGGTTTAATGTGCAAATGGTTTAGGTAGGTTGCCTTTTTACTCAACTGAAACTAGTCTTAAAATTGGGGCCAGGCATAGTGGCTTATGCCTGTAATCCCAGCACTTTGTGGGACTGAGGTGGGAGGATCTCTTGAGCCCCGGAGTTCGAGACCAGCCTGGGCAACATTGTGAGACCCCATCTCTATTTTTTTTAAACAAACAAAAATTATAAAATTGGGAATGTCTTGTTCCTTATAAACTATGAAAAAACTAGTCTGTATTTTTCTTTAAAATGTTAGGTAGCATAGTCTAGTGATGGACTGTGGATTCAAATTTTTTTTTTTTTGTTGAGATGGAGTCTTGCTCTGTCGCCCAGGGCTGGAGTGCAGTGGCCGGATCTCAGCTCACTGCAAGCTCCGGCTCCGGGTTTACACCATTCTCCTGCCTCAGCCTCCTGAGTAGCTGGGACTACAGGCGCCCACCACTCGCCCCGGCTAGTTTTTTATATTTTTTAGTAGAGACGGGGTTTCACCGGGTTAGCCAGGATGGTCTCGATCTCCTGACCTTGTGATCCACGCGTCTTGGCCTCCCCAAGTGCTGGGATTACAGGCTTGAGCCACCGCGCCCGGCTCAAATTTTAACTCCTCCATTGAACTGTGTGACCTTGGGAGGAGTATTCTCTTTGTGCCTGTGTTCTTTAGTTATATAATGAAAGTACCTATGGTTATCTAAATGAGACTTAAATGAATCAATATGTAAAGTGCCTTGCACTTAATATGCATAATGATGTTTGTCAGGTAAAATAATTCTCTATAATCCTACTACCTGTAACATAATAAATTACATTAGTAGAAATAACATCAACTAGTTTCGTATTAGGGACAAAAACACAAACTTTAAAATGTTTCTCATGAGTACTCATGGAATGCTTTTGAAACTTAGTGTTTTATTAGTCATGTGTGAAAGCCACGTACATGATTTATAAGTAGTGGTAATTCCAGCCATGGTGAAAATTGATCTGTATAGGTCTGCGGTGGAGTGTAATTAAACAAATGGAAAAACTGTTATTTTATACAGTGATAAGTCCTGAATTTCAGCGTACTCCAGAAAGTGGAGTCAGCTATCACTCTAGTCACCTTTTTATTGCCGAGGTCTTGGGAATGATTACTCCACTTTAAAAAAGTAGGGTTAATATTCCTAAAACTTTTTTTTTTTTTTTTTGGGACGTAGTTTCACTCTTGTCACCCAGACTGGAGGTGCAATGGCATGATCTGGCTCACTGCAACCTCTGCCTCCTGGGTTCAAGCGATTTCTGTCACTGCTCGCCTCCTGAGTAGCTGGGATTACAGGTGCCCACCACCACGTCGAGCTAATTCTACTAAAAAGAAATGGGGTTTCAGGTGATCCACCTGTCCTGGCTCTTAAAGTGCTGGGATTACAGGTGTGAGCCACCGCACCTGGCCCGATATTCCCAGAACTTTTGAATGACCTTAATTATACATCCTCATTTATATAAATTCTATTATTTGAATTGCTCTTTGCAATTAAACAGGCAGCAAGGAAAAACTGTTGTGTAATACTTCTCTATATCCTCTCTCCCTCTAAACCAAGCTTGTCCGACCCATGGCCGGGCTGCATGCAGCCCAGGATGGCTTTGAATATGGTCCAACACAAATTCGTAAACTTTCTTAAAGCATTATGAGACTTTTTTGCAATTTTTTTAAAGCTCATTGGCTGTTGTTAGTGTTAGTGTGTTTTACGTGTGGCCCAGGACAATTCTTCTTCCAGTGTACTCCAGGGAAGCCAAAAGATTGGACACTGCTGCGTCTAAACTCTATTTTTCAAACATTGTGACATATGTTAAACTCAAATCATTTTTAAAGTTGTGTGAGCACAACGTAGTTTTAAAGTATTTGACATTGCATCTTTTATTTATTTATTAAGCACACATTATTTGCTGTAATACAATGCCAGGAGCTGGAAATACCACTGTAAAAAAGATAAGATCTCCATACCAGTGTATATAAGACAATTACAGATGTTTGTAAAGGCTATGACAGAATTAAAGCAAGATTATAAGAAAGTTAGACTTTTGGGTACAGCAGTCTCAATGAAGGCTCTCTGAAGAGGGAATATTTGAATTGAGAGGTACTGAACTTGAGATTTAAAGAAGAAAATGAGTCAGCCCTGGAGGAGCTGGGGGAAAATTCCAAGCATAGGGAGGAGCAGGTGTTGAGGGCAAAAGGAGAAAAGGGCATTTTGTCACAGAAAAGAGGACAGTGTGTCTGGAATATGGTATGTATCAATGGTATTTTTAATAGTGAATTTTGTAACTTTTATTTCTAAATGCCAGAATGGATAAAAATAACAACTGACATTTATTTAGTGCTCTCTAGGCTTGGTGCAGCCAGTGCAGTCTCTCAACTCTCTCAGGAGCTTGGTCATCTGCATTCTGTAGATGACGGAAGTGAGGGCTGGGGAAGTTGAGAAACTCACCCAGGGCAACCCAGCTAACAATGGTATAGTCAGGAATTGGGAAGTGCATTTTTGAGGATTATAACTTCTGAATGCAGAGTAACTAGTGCGTATTTGGGAAAGGTTGTAATAAATGGAGAGGGTGAAGTGGGGATGGTTGATGAGTACAAAAAAATAGGTAGAATGAATAAGATCTAGTATTTGATAGTACAGCAGAGTGATTACAGTCAATAATTAATTGTACATTTAAAAATAAACAGTATAATTGGATTGTTTGTAGCACAAAGAATAAATGATTGAGGTGATAGATACCGCATTTACCCTGATGTAATGATTATGAATTATATGCCTTTATCAAAATATCCCATGTACCCCATTTATACGTATATTTACTATGTACCCACAAAAATTAAAAGTAAAAAAAAAATTGAGAGGGTGAGAAAGGCAAGATTGTGGGAATTCGTTGTCTATAAAAACAATGATTATTGGGCCAGGCGTGGTGGCTCACGCCTGTAATCCCAGCACTTTGGGAGGCCAAGGTGGGTGGATTACGAGGTCAGGAGATCGAGATCATCCTGGCTACCATGGTGAAACCCTGTCTCTCCTAAAAATACAAAAAATTAGCCGGGCATGGTGGCGGGTGCCTGTAGTGCCAGCTACTTGGGAGGCTGAGGCAGGAGAATGGCGAGAACCCGGGGGGCGGAGCTCGCAGTGAGCCGAGATTGCACCACTGCACTCCAACCCCGGCGACAGAGTGAGACTCCGTCTCAAAAACAAAACAAAACAAAACGACATGATTATATTAGGTGGCTTAAATATTTTGTAACTATCTTAGTTTTATGTTTAGTTATGATGTAGTTTCGAGTAAGTTTCTGCTTACCATCTTGAGTATATCTGCTGTGTAAAAGAGGCACTTTAAAGTTGGGACCAGTGGCTTCTACCTGTAATCCCAGCACATTGGGAGGCTGAGGCAGGAGTATTGCTTGAGGTCAGAAGTTGCAGGTTGCAGTGAACTGTGATTGTGCCACTGAACTTCAGCCTGGGTGACAGAGCGAGATTCTGTATCTTTAAAAACAAAAAGAAGAGGCACTTCAATATTTCATATCTCAGTCTCCCAATAACTATTAAGCACTAGCAATGAGGTTATATCATACTGGAGGATGTAACTAATTTCCCCTATTCAGTAACATGCTCACAGACTTTTTCTTCAAATAGCATTGTTGTTGCAGGCATTCCTTTCGGGTTTTCACAGGAAAGGAAGATCTTTGTCTTTGCCTGTGTTTCAAATGAATCATGTATGGAGTTCAGAGTGACCTTTGGTAATGCATTCTAGCAGATATAGTTAGAACCTCGTGATTTAGTCCTCAGTTGTCACTGCTTGGAAATGTTTCCTGAGTCTTTTTCAGGGTGAGGTGTCCAGGAAAATGACATATAGGAAATGTGTAAAAGATGAGCCCTTCAGTTAATTGGCAGCTTATTACGCCAGATTCTGCCTTGCCTTTTGGTTCATTTGCGTCAGTAGTAGGAGAGATGGGTTTGCTGCTGGGTGCTAGAGAGGTAAATGAGTAGAGAAGAAAGCTGTTATCTATTGAATCCTTAGTATATATGCCTTTGGTAAATGTTTCACATTAACTCATGTAATCATCACAGAACTCTGAGGTACATGGTATTAGCCTCATTTTATGCCCTACCTACCACTGGAGATACCAAAAATAGGTATGCATTTTTTGATCAAGGGAAAAATATAACCCATGGGTTTTTAATAGCTTATTACTTATGGTGAAAGACAGACTCAGGAAAAATGATAAAACTGTATAATGTTATTGAGTGCCTGTTAGCACTGAGATTACTACGAATGAGTGAGACAGGGTCTCTATCCTCAAAAGGTACATAGAACTTTGGAAGGTGAGTTAGGCATGTATTTTAATCAAGTCTTTTTTTTTTTTTTTTCGTGAGACAGAGTCTCACTCTGTTGCCCAGGCTGAGCACAGCGGCATGATCACAGCTCACTGCAGCCTTGACCTCCCAGTCTCAAGTGATTTTCCCACCTCAGCCTCTGTGAGTTGCGAGGACTGCAGGTGTGCACCACCATGCCTGGCTAATTTTTTTTTCTTTTTCTTTTTTTTTTGAGAGAGAGACTCGCTCTGTCACCCAGGCTGGAGTGCAGTGACTCAGTCTCAGCTCACTGCAACTTTGCCACCTGGGTTCAAGCGATCTTCCTGCCTCAGCCTCCTGAGTAGCTGGGATTACAGGTGTGCGCCACCATGCCTGGCTAATTTTTGTATTTTTAGTAGAGACAGAGTGTTCACCATGTTGGCCAGACTGGTCTTGAACTCCTGACCTCAAGTGATTTGCCCACCTCAGCCTCCCAGAGTGCTGGGATTACAGGTGTGAGCCACCGCCCCCGGCTCTGGCTAATTTTTGATTTTTCTGTAGAGACAAGGTCTCACTCTGTTACCCAAGTTGGTCTGGAACTCCTGGACTCAAGTGATCCTCCTGCATCAGCCTCCCAGAGTGCTGGGATTACAGTTGTGAGCCATTGTACTGGGCCGGGAGTCTATCTTTATTTCAAAACAATTTCCCTTGAAACCATTGCTGCTGTTGCTATACAGCAGAGATAATGTAAACCTTTGGGCACATTACTTTTGACTACTGCTAAATTCTGAAATAATTCCTGTAGATAGTTCAGAAGAATATGAATCTATCCACATTAATAGGCGAAAACACTCTAATATGGTTGATTAGGAAGTGTGTCACCATTCAGATACTTGTTATATGAATGACCGGGCAATAGACTTGAGTCAGCCATTCTTCCAGGGTTTAAAGTCTAGCTCCATCTATTACTAATTGTGTGACATTGGGTAGGTCACCTCAACTCTTTGAGTTTCCTCATCTAATGAGGAAAGAGATGATGCTAATAGTGTCTTTCTCATAGTGCTGTGAAATTAGATGAGATAATGCATGAGACGATGTATGTGAAGTGTTTAACATAGTCCTGGCCTGCATAATGTTTTTGCTGCTGCTGTTATGATCATTATTAAGCTAATAAGCCAATTTGGTACCACTGACACAGTCTGCTATTTAAATGTGATTTCATGTGTTGGTGACTTTTTTTTTGTTTGTTTAGTTTGTCCTAGCTTCAGTTTAAACAGCATTGAAGTCAGAACCCGGTTTGTATTTCAGTTCGTAGTGCCCAGATCATGATGGGAAATGTTTTGATTACTTCTAACCTATTTCTTTCTGGAATCAGATACCTCAGATCTTCTAATTGTACTTCCAGGTGTACTTCTAGGTGAACAGTATTCCCTCAGCTCATAGGCAAGGTACCTAAATGAAGTTCTTGGTTGGAGAGAGAACAGCAAACTAGAAATACAAATAAATCAAGATGTGTGTGAGGTGGGAATGGCATGGTTTGGATAGTAATAACTTCTCTTAGTCCTCAGCTCCTAAAACATGAAGATTTTATTTCTTGAATATAAACTTGTCAAGAACTAACTTAAAGTACAGGTTGAATGAGCTAAACATTGCCGCTTGTCATCATAACTTCTTTTGATGAATAATTTATTCCTTGTTTTTTCTGTAGAGTTTAAGAAATAGGTGTATGTAATGATTACAGTCATTTATGGTGTTCTGGGATTGTCCTAATTTTAGGTAACTGTCTTCAGAAAGGTAGCTTGTTAAATAGATGATTAAATGTAATTAAAATTCATACTTTTATACTTTTTTTTTTTTGAGACAGAGTTTTGCTCTTGTCCAGGCTGGAGTGCGATGGTGTGATCTTGGGTCACGGCGACTGCCGGCTCACTGGTTCCAGTGATTCTCCTGCCTCGGCCTCCTGGTAGCTGGTATTACAGGCACCCACCATCATGCCCAGCTAAATTTTTGGATTTTTAGTGGAGATGGGGTTTCACCATGTGGGCCAGGGTGGTCTCGAACTCCTGACCTCAGGTGATCTACCCACCTTGGCCTCCCAAAGTGCTGGGATTACAGGTGTGAGCCACCATGCCTGGCCACTTTTTTCTTAAAATTTTTAAAAAACACACTTTTAAGAGAATATCTCTGTTTGATCTGGAAAGTATCACTAGCATAGTTATGCAGTGTAGCAGAGGCAAGTGACATTTGTTGTATTTTACTATTTGTCAAAGGGCATGGATAAGAGACAGGAGTTTTAAATGTGCTCCTTTCCAACTATTGTCTCTGCCTAACCCAGTAGCCACTTGGAGAAAAGGTTTCTTAAATTGTGATATTATCAAAACTTGTCAGGCAGGTTATAGATAATGCTCAACTTTATGGCTAGTGTGGATATCTATATTAAAATTTACTTTATGTCCCACAGTATGAATGAAATTCTCAGTGTTGCTGTTGAATATAGTCTAATTATTAACCAAATCTGAAAACCAGTAATTACCCTCTGTGAAGTTTTTTTTAATGGATTTCCCCTCTTTCCTCAGGATTTGACATTGTAAATGTTTTTTTAGTGAGTGGAATTTAGTTTGAACCCTTTATGTAAGAGTTCAAAGTGTGATCTACTAGTAAAAACAGTTGGTTTGGAAGTCAGAGTCCAGTCTTGCCTCTGCTATTCTCTGTGATCTCATGGACAAGATCCTATGGTTGCTTCATTTACTGATTGTAAATTATAATGAGAATGATGTATTCCTTGTTTATCTCTCAGGATCATAGTGGTAAATGAACCTCAGTTATTAAGGAGAGTCATCTTGCAGCAGTTGACACCAGTGGACTCAGGTAGTAAGACAAAGAGCACATGGTGTTTAAGGGGCTATTTTGAGCAACTGCAGTGGACTTGTGGGAGATCAATTATAAACTTAGCCTAGCTAAGAATGGGGTGAGTGTTACTGTCAGCAGAAAATAGGAAAAAGTTGAAGACTGAAGTATTTAGAAAGTGGTAATATAGGAAAATGATCCCTGACACAAAGTAGTGTAGGCCTCCTGCCTGGCTTTGGTTACATATGTTTCTTCTGATAAAAAAGGAGGCAAAGATGAGAGTAGGAAAACGAAAATTAAAAAATGAAAAAAGGCCGGGCGCGGTGGCTCATGCCTGTAATCCCAGCACTTTGGGAGGCTGAGGCCCCAGCTGGGTGTCAATTTTTTTTTTTCTCATCAACATTATAATGAAATGAGGTTTTTCAAGGACCTGCTGTATGAGACTAACCCAGAATAATTTTTCAAATTACCAGATTTAATGAATCAGAATTTCTAAGAAATATGCTGGATAATCTAAATACTTAACAAGCTTCTCAGGTGATTCTTCTCATTAGGGAGATTTGGGAAATTTCTAGATGAGTGCTTCTCTAGAGTTAATGTGCATAGGAATCACCTGGGGTGTTGTTTAAAATGCAGTTTTAGGGCTAGTGTGGTGGCCCACGCCTGTAATCCCAGCACTCTGGGAGGCAGAGGCAGGCGCATCATGAGGTCAGATGACCAACAGGGTGAAACCCCATCTCTACTAAAACTACAGAATTAGCTGGGTGTGGTGGCTCATGCCTGTAATCCCAGCCTCCCAGCTGCTCGGGAGGTTGACGCAGGAGAATCGCTTGAATCGGGAGGCAGAGGTTGCAGTGAGCTGAGATTGTGCCACAGCACTCCAGCCTGGGCAACTAGAGCGAAACAACGTCTCAACAACAAAAAAGAAAAAAGTAAATACTGTCGGTAGCTCTGTTTTTGCCTTTCAGGAGCATTTCTGAAGAGGAGGAGGCTTTTTTGAGAGGAAAGAGGATTAATCATGAGGACATGCTTTGGAAGGGCAGAGTTTGCTGTCCAGTTAAGAGATTGTGGTAGAGATTTTATTTTCAGTTGGATTAAGTCTAGAATCACACTGATAGCAATTTACGTTGCCTGAAGTAGGGAATTTGCTCTTTAGGTTGGTCAATTAATTAGGTCCATATTGTAGATTTGCTAGAAAAAGGAGCAACTCACTTGAAGAACTTTGTGGTGGTTGCTCTTGTTTCATATCCTCACATGTTTCATGATTAAGGATGAAAATTGGGCCTGGTGT